ATCTCAGCCTCCCAGGTTCACACCATTCTCCTGCCTCAGTCTCCCGAGTAGCTGGGACACCAGGCACCCACCACCACGCCTGGCTAATTTTTTGTATTTTTTTAGTAGAGACGGGGTTTCACCATGTTAGCCAGGATGGTATTGATCTCCTGACCTTGTGATCCACCTGCCTCGGCCTCCCAAAGTGCTGGGATTACAGGCGTGAGCCACCGTGCCCGGCTGCCTGCTGGAATTTTTATTGGGATTACATTAAATTTACATGGGTCGATTTTGGAATAACTGACATCTTGACAAAACTGTGTCTTACAATCCATGAAAATGGTATCCCTCTCCATTTATCTGGCCCCCTCTAATTTCTCTCAACAAAGTAGTTTTCAGTGTAGAGTACTGCACATGTTATTCCATCTAAAATTTATGTCTTAACATTTTATGTATTTTGTAAATTGCTTTTTCTATATCATTATCCAATTGTATGTGACTGATATATAGAAATACAATTGATTTTTTAAAATACTGAGTACACATATTGTGACTTTGCTAAGTTCATTTAATTCAAGTAGCTTTTCCTCTCACTTCTTTAGGATTTTCTACACACGGGACACTTATAGAGTATTTTTCTATTAACAAAATGCATTTTTAACTTCAGCCTCTAGCCTCAAATATTATACTATTTCATAGAAAACAGTATTTTCCCATTTATTCTACCCCATCTGTGGTACTATTACTGTCACACATTTTTCTTCTACATATTACGTATATAATTCACTGTTATTATTTTTGCTTTAAACAGTTATTTTTCATTTAACTAAACTAACAAATGAGAAAAAATAATTTTCCATTTATTCATACCTTTACTTATCCGGCTCTCTTATTATTTTCTGTAGGTTAGAGTTTCCATCTGGATTCATTTTATTTTAGCTTGAACAATACTGTAATCTGCTGGTGACAAATTTTCTCAGTGTGGTTTGTTTGAAAACATCTTTATTTCACCTGCATTTCTGAATGATACTGGATATAGAAAGGTAGTTGTTTTCTTATCTTTGTTCATCGTATATCATTTTCTATCTTTTTTCATCTCTATCATTTTGAATGATACTAAGTATAGAAAGTTAGTTTTTTTCTTGTTTATCTGACATAATGTGTCATTTTTCTTTGTTTTAAGATTTTTATTTTAGCAATTTGATTATGACACGGCTTGTAGTAGTTTTCTTTGTGTTTATTTTGCTTGGGATTCATTAAACTCTTGGATTTGTAGGTTTATAAATTTCCACAAATTTGTGGCTGTTATTTTTTCAAAAATTTCACCTGCTCCCCATTCTTCCATAATTATTATTTGTACATTATGTGTATATTAGACTGCTTTGTATTGTTCCACAGGTGACTGAGGTCCTTGATAATTTTGTGGTATTTTTTTCTCCTCTAATTTGAATAGTTTCTAATACTATGTCATGTTTATTGCTCTTTTTTTTTTTTTTTTTCCCTGCAGTGTCTAATCTACTGGTAGGCCCTCTAACGAATTTTTCATTTTAAATATTGTATTTTTCAGTGCTACCAGCTCTACTTGGCTCTTTTTTTTTTGAAGTTTATATCTCTTCCTTCATTATGTTCATGTTTTCCTTTAAGTTCTTCAACATATTTAGAATAGCTATTTTCAAGTCTTTTTCTATTAATTCTAACATCTTTGTCACTTCTGGATCTATTAACTGACTTTGTTTGGGTATACCAAGTTTCTTGCTACATCATGTGTCTTAATTTTTTTATTATATGTTGGAGACTATGAATATAATGTTGCTGAATGTCTGAATTTTGGTGTCCTCTTTAAAAACTATTGAATACTGTTCTTTCAGACAGTTAATTTACTTGTACATTAGCTTGATCCTTTTGAGCTTTGTTTTTAAGATGTCAAAGCAGGTCTAGAGTAAATCCACTTTAAAGTGAGGCCATTTTCTACTCAATGTCCCAGATGTTCAAGGTGGTCTACCGACTCCTTGGTAGACTGGTCAGGACTTGATTATCTTCCAATCTTGTGTGAGTTCTGGTAGTCGTTCAGCTCACTCCTTCCTGATAGCTGTTCTTCCTTCACAAGCTGTTCTTTGCCCCACTTGATGGAGTATTGTTGAAAACATGCACAGTGTAGTATTCAGCCAAGGATTTAAAAGAACCCTGATTCAGATTTCTGTTGCTCTTTTTCTACATATCCTTCTCTTCTCAGGTACTTTGTTCAGCAAGTTATAGCTGCCCCAATGTCACTGAACTCCTATCACTATTTCCTGAGTTTAGTAAAATATCCATGCTTATTTTGGGTTCCTCCTACCTTTACTTGGTTTGGTAAACGTCTCCAAGAAAAAAGTTGAGATGACTGTAGAGCTCACCTGACTTGCTTCCTTCTCAGAGAGATCACAGTCTCACACTGCCTATTATCTATTGTCTTACAAGAATTGTTTAATATATTTGCTCTTTTTCCCATTATTTACAGTAGGAGGACTAGACCAGTGCCAATTATTGTTGTTGCAGTTGAAAGTAGAAGTCCTCTTTCTCAAATCATCAATGTCTTCTGGTTCCAACATTACCTTTGAGAAATTCCTGATTCACTGTATGGAATTAACAACTTCTCTCTGAAAGGTTTTAGAATCTTTTCTTTATCTCTCATGTTCCAGAATGATACGATGACAAGCTTTGGTACAAGTATTTTTTTTTTCCATTTGTGTTGGATACTTGTTGAAACATTGCAATCCGGGGAAGCAAGTCCTTTAGTTAGTTGCAGAAAATTCTCTTATATTTTTTGATAAATTTCCCCCTAATTGTTTGTTTAATTCTTTTATTTTTTTAAATTAAATTAAATTTTTTAAATTAATTAATTAATTATTTTTGAGACAGAGTTTTGCTCTTGTTGCCCAGGCTAGAGTGCAATGGCACGATATCGGTTGACTGCAACCTCTGCCCCCTGGGTTCAGGTGATTCTCCTGCCTCAGCCTCCCGAGCAGCTGGGATTACAGGTGCCTGCCACCATGCCCAGCTAATTTCTGTATATTTTTAGTAGAGACAGGGTTTCACCATGTTGGTCAGGCTGGTCTTGAACTCCTGACCTCAGGTGATCCACTTGCCTAAGCCTCCCAAAGTGCGAGGATTACGGGCATGAGCCACCGTGCCCAGCCTGTTTGTATAATTCTTAATCATTATTGGCCCTCTGAGGTGGACGTTGTAATTTCCTTAACTTTTTCTGCCCTACTTCCCATTTGTCTTTCTGGGAGCATCTTTTTGTTCTTTCTGGAAGCTTTTCTAAGCTGTATGATCTTACATTTCTCTCATTAAAAAAAAAAAAATGTTGAATACCTAATTTCTAAGAGGTTTTTCTGGTTTTTGTCCCTTTTTTTCCCCTTTCCACATTTTCAGGGGTAACACATTTTTATCTTTCTAAGATTTCTAGTAGTTTTTTTCTTTTTTGGTTTATGCATTTATTATGTATTTCCACTGCATACTTTTTCTGTTTATTTCCTTTTTTTCCTTTCAAGTTGCGGAGTTTCCTCCAAGTACTGATGATTCTTGACTGTGTCTGTTCAGTCAAGTCAGTGTCCTAAAACATGGACTGAGAGGGCTGAGTGCTAGGCTTGTCTCTCCTGGTATCCTTCATTGTTGGATGATGAGATAGCAGAATGGCTTTTGTACTTATATACTCACATCCAGACATCTTTCTGCCCATTCAATGTCCCCTGAGAAAATTCTTTCAGTCCACCATATTGGATGGGGAAGGAGATAAGGACCCCCAAACCAATCAATACGCAGACTTTCATTTGATCTCTTTTCAGCCTTGCATCTTACTGTTTCCTCAACTGTGCCTGGTATTCCAGTCTAGAGTCTCACTGCTTCAATTAGAAGAAACTTTCAAAATCATTTAATCTATTCTTATATTGCAGATAAAGAGAATTAAGGTTCAAAAAATGCACTTCCTTGAGGTAAGACTGTTAATGACTGGAGAATGTGAGATTTGAATCTAGGCTTCTGACTTTTCCTCTAAAGCTCTGGTCAGCTAAAATACTGCCTCCAAAAATGTCACAGATGATTCAAGATTATTCTCTGCAGCTGTCTGAAATCTTGGCAAACTATCAGTAATTGGGTCATGACAGCTAAAAGTTCCAGTTGGATTGAAATAACTGAAGTCCCACATCCGATACCATCAGAAAAGGGACAGGACTAAGGTCGGAAATCCAGACTAATTTTGAAAGTGAGCTGATTAGTTTCCTTTAGTTTCAAGGTCATACAATGGAATTCTTACCACTGGTTTTTTCAACATCAAAATGTGATGGGTAAAAAAATCTGACAGCCTTATTTTCATAAATTTAATGTATTAAACTATCAAAGTGTCTCTCAACTAGGAAAATGCTAACTTGGTTTAGAACAATAACATATTTTAACACAGCTGTCTCCTAAGCAACTTCATGGAAAACTCATTCTCTGGTATAACATGTATTACTTGAGAAAAGAAATTCCATAATCAGGAATGTTTGGGAAATGTTGGGTAAAAGAAATCTAAACTACTTTCTTTAATACAAGACTTCTCAAAACTGCTAACAGGCATTGAAACATCAATACAAAATGTACGGAATATGTAGCATTTGCCCAGTGTATTTTAGTACCAAATCTTTTATTTCTGCAACTCACAGGATTAGTTTTCAAGGAAGATATCTGGAAACAATCTGACCCAATACTGTATTTCTGAAAGTCCTGTTATGGGGTGTTTTGGGTGAGACAACAGAATTTTTCTCCTTAACATCAACTGCTCACCTTAACATTAATTACAAAAGGGTAGAGGTTATAATTTAAAATATACATGATGCATGAAGTTCACATGCCTAAATATAACTGTTTTATTATTTATAGAGGCATTAATAAAAAGATATTTCACTCTTAAGCCAAGGATCTGTGTAATACTGGTGAGAGACAAAATGCTAATCGACATTATCACTAAACGTTTAAAATGAGGTGTTGTCCCCAAAACATACTATTTAGCCTGGAAGTGGGTCTGGCAGTGGCGGACTGATGTGAAGCTGGCAGGATCTCCGATTTGATGGTTACGCTGGTGACCGCACCATCCATTCTGTCTGTCTCACATAAGCCTGGCAACTGTGCTGCCTTCTCCAGCGTGGGCAGTAACTGATCAAACTGGTCAAGGTCAGCTGTAAACTAAGAATGGAAACCAAAGTTAGAGGACATATATTCTATACTTTCACCTGAAACAACGCAGAAAAAAGGCTGCTTCTTTAAACTATGAATTCAGTGTGACTTTGAGAGAAGAAAGAAAGAAGAAATAATTAGAATGATTGGGGCTACTTGGAAATTACACGAGCTAACTATTCCATGGGGGAAAATATTTGGATGCTTCTGATATAGTATTCATATACTGCAGGATATAAATAATATACATATATTCGGCTACTATATCTTGGTATAAAAATCTATGTATAAAAAAAGATTGGACTGGAAAAAAGTGTCAGTAGTACTGTGTTACGATGATGGCATTATTATTGATTTTTTCCTGTCATATTTTTCAAAATTTCATAAAATGACTTACTTTAAACTTATATTGATTCAACTTTTTTTTTTTTTTGAGATCAAGTCTCGCTCTGTCGCCCAGGCTGGAGTGCAGTGGCTGGATCTCAGCTCACTGCAAGCTCCGCCTCTCGGGTTTACGCCATTCTCCTGCCTCAGCCTCCCGAGTAGCTGGGACTACAGGCGCCCACCACCTCACCTGGCTAGTTTTTTGTATTTTTTAGTAGAGACGGGGTTTCACCGTGTTAGCCAGGATGGTCTCGATCTCCTGACCTCGTGATCTGCCTGTCTCGGCCTCCCAAAGTGCTGGGATTACAGGCTTGAGCCACTGCGCCCGGCCTTGATTTAACTTTTTTATAATTTAAAAAAGTTTGGGAAACTTTTTCATAAATTATGTATCAGCTTTAAAGATATCAAAAAGATTACTTCCCCCTTAAGGACTTAACAGTATAAGAAACATATCTTTTAGAATAGATAGGGAGGCCGGGTGCAGTGGCTCACACCTGTAATCCCAGCACTTTGGAAGGCCGAGGCAGGTGGATCACCTGAGGTCAGGAGTTCGAGACCAGCTTGGCCAACATGGTGAAACCCTGTTTCTACTAAAAATACAAAAATTAGCCCAGCATGGTGGCGTGTGCCTATAATTCCAGCTATTAGTGGGGCTGAGGCAGAAGGATCGCTTGAACCTGGGAGGCGGAGGGTGCAGGGAGCCAAGATCGTGCCACTGCACTCCAGCCTGGGCTACAGAGCAAGCCTCCGTCTCAAAAAATAAATAAATAAATAAAATTAATACAATTAAAAAAAATTAAAATACAAAAAAATTAAAATACAATTAAAAAAATTAAAAAAAAAGAGAATAAATAGGGAGTTCCTAAATCTGTCTTAGGTTATGTAGAGAAGAAAACTAGCCTTTATTTCACAATATTGCTATATTATGATTACTTTTTGGGTTTCATTATCTAGTTCAACTAAAATTTTTGTTTCTAGAGTATATAAACAGAACTAAATGTATGTATTTAATTATATTTCTGAGGTCTGGGCACTGTCACATTTAGCAGTAGTTCATTCATTTTTATTGCTGAATTAGTGTCCCACCGTATGAATATGTCACAACATAATTATCCACTCTATTGTGATGGATTTTTGGGTTGCTTCTAGTTTTTGGTTGATATGAATAAAGCTGTTAAAAACATTTGTGAACATGTCTTTTGTCACACATGTGCAAAAAGCATTAACCATAAAGGAAAAGATTGACAAACTGAACTATATTAAAGTGAATAACTTCATTTCATCAAAAAGTGCCAGTAAGAGAATGAAAAGGTAAGCCTTAGCATTGAAAAGATATCTGCAAATATATGTCCAATAAAGAACTCATACATAAAGAACTCTTAAAAGTCAATAAGCAATATAAAAACACATTAAAAAATGGTCAAGAGACTAGACTAGGCAATTTACAAAAGAAGATATCCAAATGACCAATGAATATTTATCAGGGAAATGCAAATTAGAATACACCCTCAGAATAGCTGAAAATCTAAAATATGGATAATACCATGTATTAACAAGGACTTAGAGCAACTAGAAAAAATACTGATACACTAGGAAAACTGGCATTATCTACGAAAAAGGACATATGCATATCTTATGATCCTGTAGTTCTACTCCTAGGAATCAATTCAACAGAAATACATGCACATGTGCACAAAACAGATGCACCAGAACTGAACACAATGGCATTATCTTATAAACCTTTTCCTTTTAAAGTTAGTATACTTATTATTTAATGCTGTTTTCTGCTTAAAAATTAGTTTCATTGTACCAAGAAACATGAGACAGCCTTATCCTCAAAGAACACACATGTACAGAACCAGTCAAAATAGTGTTACTACAAATAGTAAACAGAGACCATATGAAGCACTACAAGAGGACAGAGGCAGCAAATGTCTAACTAGGGATACTTGGGGAAGGCTTTATGCAGATGTATTTGAATTGGTTTGTGAAGGATGAATAGAAGTTCAGTGGGCACAGAAGGAAGAGCAAGGCAGAATATGTTTAGAAGAGAAATGGCTTATTCTAGGAATGACAAGGATTTCCATCTGCCTAGAATGCAGTATTCCTGAGGGAAGAGAGTGACTCTTGTGAGATGACAGCAGAAAACTAAGCTGATTCAAGAAACCGAAGGACCTATGCATACTAAGTGTGACTCATGTTTTAGAACGGAGTCTTGTGGATAAACTGCTTTGTACATACATTGTCTGCTGATGAATGAATGTCTATATTCTGTCTCTAAATAAGGTGAAAACTCCTAGGAAGGGTCATTTTTTTTAAAACTATATTCCTTCAGAGTCCATAAGCAATTATACAATAAATGAAGATACCTGTTTACTTTTACACCAGTTTCACCCCATCCTAAACATAAAGGTTTCTAATCCATAACAACTTACGGAAAGGTTTGTCTTTATTTACGTCTGTTTCAGGTCATGTTTTGTAAGGGCAATATTCTGTTACCCGGAATATTCAAGTCCCTATTCTCTGATGGTTGAGGGTGGTCAGAATCAGATGAAAAGGAAAACAGCCTTAGGAAATGCTTCAAAGGAAATAAAAAACAAGCCAGACTAGGTAACCTTGTCCACCTCCTTACATTTCTCTCCCACTTCATTTACATCAGAGGTTCCCAAACTTAGGTTTGGTTCCTAGGTTTTATTCCTAGAGAGTTACATTCAATAGGTAGGGATGGGAAGAAGGGGCAGGGAAGGTATTTTAAAAAAGGTCTAAAGATGTGAACTCTGATTTTACAGAGAAAGAAAAATCTCCTTTTTTAGAATTCTACATTAAAACTGTAGCCTTCTGAAGTTCTAAAGAAAACTTTTGAGGGCATGTTGTGATCAATTATTGATACTAACTTCTTAATATATGCCCAATGGATAGGAAAAAACAAAGTATGAATTCATATCTGGTCTATAGATGGAATAGAATAAATGAAAAAAAAAATTACTAGGAATGGCCATTCTGTGAAGCAAGCAGTTACCCACCTGGCTCTGGGCCTCCAGTTTTATTTCCTCAGGAGTGGGTTTGGTCATTGGGGTTGGGTTTGTATTACAAGGATCCATCTGTTCTTTCTTTTCCACTTTCACCTTTACATCATCCAGGCTTAGGTTTGGAGTTGATCTTAAATCTTTCTCATCTTTATCTAAAAGATAGCGTAGGAGCTGATGGTCTTTTGATTCTTTTTTCTTTGAAGCATCCAGCTCTAGTTTTATACTGGAGTTTCCTTGTACCTGTCCAGTCACTGACACAGAAGTAGATGCACTGTCCTTTTTATCAGGCTCGACAGACAAAGTGGTGATATCTGAGGGGCTACCCTCCTGTAAGAGCCGGTGCAGAATTTTATGCCGCTCTGTCAGTGAGCTATGAGAGGAGGGACAAGAACCTCCTGAAGAGTTAGCAGAGGCAGAGTTGGAAGTGCCTGTGCAAGACAGGACATCTTTGCAGCTTGTGTCTATATCAGCATGCCGTAACTGCTGTTCGGCAGTTGTCGTCAAAAGCTGCACTAGTTTGTGACTGGTTTGAGAGTATTTACTGTCTCCATCTGAAAGTCTGTCATTGTTATGCAGAAGCCCTGAATCCAGAGGTTTGCCATCACTAGAGCTGTTGTCAGATTGAATCATTTCATTTAAAATGGATGCAATCTCTTTGTTATCTTTGGACTCAGCTTTTGCTGGTTGTATATTTAATCTGCTAGGTGAATTCTGTGAGCTCATCTGCCTGAGGACTGGAGAATTGGCAGAGAAGCCAACGGAGTTATTGGGTCCTTCATTCATACCCTGTAAAGATGTTACTGGGATGTTTGAATAAGATCGGTTAGTATTATTATTACAGGCACTACTTGTCATGCCAACAGGAGAGCTTAATGTCGAAATATTAGGAGGAAAGGAATTGTTTGGCATTCTGGGCCTTGTTGTCAATCCAGAAGTAACCTGTCTCCTTGGAGACATGAACTGTGCTAGGGATATTCCTGTACCTTCCATAGGAGAATTATTGAGGTTTAAAGAGGGATTACTGCTCTGTGAACTGGCCTGTCCTTGGTTTAAGGCAACATTGGCTACAATCTGACTTCCAGGTGAGCATCCGAAACTTCCTTGGCTGTTGCTAGAATTACTATGACTGCCGCTATGAAGGTCTGAGCTCTGCTGGCGGTTTATTCTGGTGGATACCATGTTGCTGTTGGATGGTGGCAATGTGGATGAACGAGCCACACCATGAGCTGGAGAGATACTAGGATTGACCGAGGGGTTTACTCGGGGAATTGACATTCCAGAATTAGTGTCATCTTGAGGAGAAAGCCCACTGTGCTCCCTGGGGGAAAAAGACATTATTATTCAAACATCTTCATTTGTTTCTATTAAAATATTTTCATGAAACGTATTCTAAAACAAGATCATTGATCTCATTAATATTGCAAGCTATCAAGTAAAGAGCTTCTGTATCATCTTAAATTAAGAAAAAAGTTCCTTAAATTAAGAAAAAACGACTGTAAAATACTAGCACCACTTAATAAGAAATAATGCTTATTGACTCTTACATTTGATAATGGTCTCAGTTATACGTAAAATAAATTTTTCTTGGTTTTGGAAAAAATCCAATATATGTTCTTTTAAACAATTTCTAAACAATATACACAATTAACATTACAATAATTTTTTGGTTGAAAAAGAAACTTCTCACACACCTCTGTTTATAAAGCATTTATTTATGACTCCTGTTACAGCTTTTAAGTATTTCAACTCCAAAGAGGAAGACTGGGTAAGGAAAATACTGTGTCACTGATGTAAAAATTAAAAAGAGTGATATGCAGACATAGCAGATGTTTTGAAAGAGAAATCACAATATGAAAAAAAGAACTGTGCTAATTCCACTCACAAGCATAATTTAAACTAAAAGTAGAAAAAACCAGAATACTGAATTCAGGTTTTCAGTGAGTTTTTTACTCAAATTCATAATTATGACAACAGATTTGTGACTGGCATTACCATGTTCCAATAAGCAAATACATTAGATGAGAAAAAGATGAAGTGAGGGGAAATGTCTTTGTTTTTAATGCTACATTTTAACCACTGTAAATGTAGGATTTCTAATAATTCATAGGATAAAAGAATAGTTTCAAGAATTTACCATATATCAGTGTAAAACATACTTAGAGAGGGGAACAAATTAGAGGCAATGGCATTCAAAAATCAAGTTGATAGTTTAATGATTTGTAATTTCTGTGAGAAATTGTCAACTTGAACTCAGGAGCCACCAAGTATGCCAAAATGAAAATAGAGCACTTTCAAAAATAAAAATAAAAATAACAATGTTAACAAACTCTGAAATCTCTTATAAGATTCACATATGGAATGTTGTAAATTTTTAGCCATCTTTTTGGTTTTACCCTCTAAAAAGCATATTTTCACCCTCCGCTTTCCTACCTCCCTTTATGAACAACAAAGCTATTACATGATAAAACTATAAAACCCAATATGGATATATTGATTATATATACTCATCACACTAGTTTTATGCCTAATTTAGAATATCTGCTTTCTAGCCATCAAGAGTATAAAAAATTTCTCTAATAAGAGATATGTGAACTGGCTTATTTCATATGAAGCTCTCCAAATAAGTAGTACCTGTCGATGATATGAATTCCCATGATGAAAGGCTGCATGTCTGGACTTTGAGGGTAGCAAAGTTTACACTTGGTGTGGGCGCTAAGCATTGTCCCATCATTCAATATGAATCTATAGGAGGGGCTGGAGGCAGTGCCACGAGTCATCACTGTTTCAAACAAAAGAGAAACCTAGTTAAAATTCTGATACTTATACGCTGGCTTTAAGTCACCAGGCTTTATTTCTACTTAGAACCTCATTTTAAATGCCCTCCCAACTGCTGACTGCTTAGACTCAGAATAAAGAATAGTTCAGACAAAGCAGATATCTGAGGGGGAAAGATGATTCCAGTTGAAATATACCACTTGATGACAGGGTTTAATTGAGTCATAGTTGAATGGGTGCCTCCTCACATAAGTTAAAATTATGAGGAAACCCTAAATCTGGGAAACAACAACTTTAATCTTTTTATTTTTTTTTTCTTTTGAGACAGAGTTTCGCTCTGTCACCCAGGCTGGAGTGCAGTGGCACCCACTGAAACCTCCGCCTCTGGGGTTCAAGCAATTCTCCTGCCTCAGCCTTCTGAGCAGCTGGGACTACAGGCGCCCACCACCATGGCTAATTTTTGTATTTTTAGTACAGGCAGGGTTTCACCATGTTGGTCAGGCTGGTCTTGAACTCGTGACCTCAAATGATCCATCCACCTTGGCCTCCCAAAGTGCTGTGATTACAGGTGTGAGCCACCATGTCTGGCCCAACCTTAATCTTTCTCTATACTGGGGGCAGCTCTTCAAATTTATTAAGTCTCCATTAAAAATACCAGAAAATACTTTTCTCTCCTCTCACTCTCAGTATTACCTTTAACAAGTTTGTTTTCTCTTTTGCTGGCTGATTTTTTTAATAACAGCTCTACTAAGATATGACTCACACAGCATAAAATTTATTCTCTAAGTTTTGATCAGCTTATAGAGTTCCTTAACTAATATTCAAATTTAAGTTTTCACTCAGGAATGTGAATCACTAAGGTCCCATTCGACAAGTTATTTATAAATATGTGTAAAATCTGTGGACTATTTTTAATGTTTGAATTTTTAAAGTTTAGTAAGCAAATTAAGATAAAGCCAATGGTTATTAGTATAAGGAACAAAAACTAAGTTAAGACAGTCAAGTCACTTTATAAGCAGCATAATTTACTTTTGGCTTAAAGCTTTACTAACAGCAGAAAAAATTCTAACCATGTAAGTATTTATTAAATATGTAAAGGCTATGCCAGACTATTATGTAATAAAATATCACTGATGTTTTGATAATACCATATAATTCTATTTTAAGAAAGATTGAGTACTACCACAAATGACTATTATAATTTAGCCTGTGATAAATGTTAGTCCAATTTTTCAAAGACATTTCAGAAGGGGCTTTGATTACATTTTAAAGGACATGAGAAAGAGGCTTAAAATTACTAATTAATAAATAATTTTTGAAGTTACATGTTACTTGAAGTAAACAAGACATGTTCTATTTTATTGTCCTGTGTATACAGTACCAACTGAAAAAGGTATAGTTTGTTATAAATCTATATCATAATATATCTGCCTAAGTACCAAAACCACAATATAAATCTAATTGAAAGGATAAGACTTATAACTAACCAACCACATTCTTTACACACCTGGCAAATTTCAGCTAAATCACTGGCACGGTTACTAAATATAATGTATCTAAACTAGGAAAAATTTCGAATCTGGGGAAGCTTATTAATTTAATACAAGATAATTACCACACTTCATGTTTTGAAATTAGATTACTTGTTTTGGATGAGAATGTATGGACTAAGATTTGGTATTTTATAATTCATTCAGCCATTCTTGGAAATGAGAAAAAGGCAATATCTAATATGGTAAAACTTCAATTAATTAGAACTCAGTAAGACTCTCCAGTTAACTAAAATTCTGGTGCTTAATTGTTCAGATGAAGAGATCAAAGGAAGGCAGCATAAATCAATGAAAAGAGTAAGAGCCTAGGAGTCAGATTCAGGCTTGACCTCTTACTGTCATTTACAAGTTTAAGACTTAATGCAAATTAATGTTCACCCATCTCAGTCAACTCATTACTGAAACTGAGCCAATAACATTGTAAAATAATATCTAGCATGGAGCCTAGCATAGAGTACATAGCAGGTATTGAACGAATATTTCCTCAATAAACATCAGAGGGAAAAAACCCAACAAATATGCAGCTTCCAAAGTACTTATGTTCTGAGTTACACACATAATCAATCCCTAGACACCATTTATGGCAACAGCTTCAACTCTGTCTAGCAATCACTAATACTTTGAATTAAGAGATGAGTAAGGTAGCCACAGCTCTTCACAGAGTTGGTTCAATAAACATTTGCTCTACACATCAAATTTTCCCTTTAAGTGGGTTTCAAGGTTTAGTTTTGGAATTTCATTGTGTTTATAGGTCCTGGCCTAGTTTTCTGACCTAATTTTGTCATCTTTATAGCTAGTATTTTGATCTCTGATTCCTGTGTTCATTTCTAAACTTTTTAGAACACTTAGCGGGGAAAGATATTATTGAAGGACTATTATTGACACCTCAGAATCCTTCCAAAAAAACTTTAACATGACAGCTGTCCCCCCCTCTCAAAATAGGCCTCAACAGAGCCACAAAGCAAAAGAAACATTAAAATTTCCCTGGTTACAGCAGCTGTAGAAGCAAAGCTTTTTGGGTTTTTGATCCCTCCCAATTTGGTGGCGAGATAACCTCAAACAAGCATGCCTTACGGATATTAACAAAAAAGGTAAAAAATGTGTGGCAAGGTACTATGGGTCAATGCTGGTACAGGTTTATTTTTCTTTGTGGTAGTCACCTAAACATATGCAGAAAAAGAGAAAGAATTAAAAAATTGTTGTGAGGTACAAAAAAAATAATTACCCCTAAATGTTCTAAAATTCTCAATCACCAATGAGCAAATTCTATTTATTATATCAAAATCACTCACAGGACAGTAAACTCACATTTTAAATATTTTTAACAAAGTTTGACATAAAAAGATTTTCAGTTAATTGTCACATGGACCGTGGACTTAACCACATTACGCAAGTCTCAAAGAACATTCTAATTAATCATTGATATGGGTACTTTATGTCGTATAGCAATGCTTCCAAACTTAATACCATAAACCCCTTCCAGCTTTGACTCATGATATACTTTCTTCTTTTTTTTGGGACAGGGTCTCACTCTGTCACCCAGGCTGGAGTGCAGTGGCGTGATCTCGCCTCACTGCAACCTCCGCCTCCCGGGTTCAAGGGATTCTCCTGCCTCAGACTCCCAAGTAGCTGGGATTACAGGCTCACGTCACCAGGCCCGGCTCATTTTCGTATTTTTAACAGGATGGGGTTTCACCATGTTGGCCAGGCTGAGCTCGAATTCCTGTGCTCAAGTGATCCTCACACCTCAGCCTCTCAAAACACTGGGATTACAGGTGTGAGCCACCATGCCTAGCCTTAACTATATTTTTTAAAAGATGAAAATAGCTTTATTTTAATATAAAGTTAATAGAGAGATGAACAAAGAATAAGTAAAGTCATTTGTAATTCCATCATGCAGAGATAATCAGTTAAAATTTTGTTAATTTTCCAGAATTGGATAAATAGATATCTAAAAGTGAGATCATATTATATATGCTGTGCTCTCTTGGTCTACTTTTTTTTTGTTTTTTGAGACAGTGTCTCACTTTGTCACCCAGGCTTGAGTGCAGTGGCATGATCAAGGCTAACTGGTCTTCACTTCCTGGGCTCAAGCAATCCTCCCACCTCAGCCTCCCGACTAGCTGGGACCATAGCTGTGTGCCACCATGCCTAGCTAATTTTTGTATTTTTATTTTTTGTAGAGATGAGGTTTCACCATGTTGCCCAGGCTGGTCTTGAACTTCTGGACTCAGGCAATCTTCCTGTCTCAGCCTCCCAAGGGCTGGGATTACAGGTATGAGCTACTGTGTCCAGCCACCTACTTTTTAATATAACAATATATCGTGGATATTTCAAAGACAAGAAAAGATGATCCATCATTATATATATGTAAACAGAACTTTCATACAACTAGTTTCTAGGTTGTATAGCCTGACATTTCCCATGACTACTATCTAACTGCTGATAGATGTGCTCCAAGAAAAAGTATTCTGTGAAAAAAAAAGTCTCAGTAACAAAATTTAAAAGGTATTTTTATTGTAGAACTTCTCAGAAACTTAAATACCTTAAATATATCTTATAAATCCCCTAAAGTGGGATTACACATAAAACATCATTTCCTAGTTATAGTTATTAAGTTTGTGGAACCTAGGTTCATATTTTACAAACTTTTCTGTAAGTAAACATCTTAGACTATAGACTCTGATTCAGTAGTCTGGGGTGGGGTCCAGAAATCTAGTTTAACAACTGACCCAGATGAATCTATCTTACCAGGGACCTTGGGAAGCACCATGACCTAGATATTTCTTTAAAGTAATAGTTTTGAATTGAACAGAACCTGGGAACTTTTTCCAAACTATACATACTTGAATGGATCTTCTCCTACTTTAAAAAGTTCCTCAAGTGATCCTGATACCTATTTCTCTCCAATCTCAATGTAAAACCATGGCTTTAATCTAATTCATGCTAGGTAGTTCCCAAATATTCTTTGACTGAAATGTGTTTTCAAACTTGATTCTGGAAAATATAATAGTAAATTCCCTTTGACAGCAGTTCATGAGTTGACTTTGTCAAGAGCAGCTAAAAAACTAAACTAAAACTAGAAATTTTAATGCATATTAGGATTTTGGACTAGTTGCTGCCATCAAAGAGTAAGTTAACGGGCAGGAAAAAAAGACAACAAATTGAGGACAAACTTTTCCTGCCTAAATATCATTCACTATAAAGTTCTACACAAAATCAAGAAGATGGTACATAATTTGTTTCACTCTTTTTATACTGTCCTAAGTGAAAAGGCAGCAAGAAAACTGCAAATGCAAACAACAGCTCTCTCCAATCTTGATGGATCAATGGTTGTCAAACGTAAGCATTATTATTATTATTATTTGTTATTATTTTTTTTGAGATGGAGTTTCGCCTTGTTGCCCAGGCTGGAGTGCAATGGTGCGACCTCAGCTCACCGCAATCTCCACCTCCTGGGTTCAAGCGATTCTCCTGCCTCAGTCTTCCAAGTAGCTGGGACTACAGGAATGGGCCACCATGTGCGGCTAATTTTGTATTTTTAGTAGAGATGGGGTTTCTCCATGTTGATCAGGTTGGTCTTGAACTCCTGACCTCAGGTGATCCTCCTCGGCCTCCCAAAGTGTTGGGATTACAGGCGTGAGCCACTGCGCCTGGCCAACTTAAGCACTATCTTTAAGGTTTGTTAAGATATCTGGGCAGGCCTTCATCTGATATTTTAATTCGGTAGGTCAATAGCTTTAACAGGTGATTCTCATGACAGTGTTTCATTGACCACATTTCTCATACCTGGCTAGATACTGCTGAATAGAAAATATCAGAAAAGGCTGTGCTCAATCCACAAAACCTGTTTGTCAGGTTGTTTAGAATCTCCAAAACACTAGATTCAGTCATGTGAACTTTGAACAACTTAATTCTAAGAAAAATACAAGTTATTTCTATTGAAGATTTTTTTTCCTAAAAAATGTAGAATGAGGGAACATTAAAAAATGACTAACGGGGAAGAGGTATTGGATTATACTTACATTTCTTTACATTTTACTCTAAATTATTTCAGTTTATATATTAATGACAAACTAGTTACTTATTATACTTTAATCAATTTGTTTTATGGCCTAGTCACATCTATGGGGAGCCTAGCCATTTGGATAATGAGACAAGCCAGATCTGCTTTGCCTTGGTGAAAATGTACATAAGTTATAGGCAAATAAATTAAATCTTTTAAGAAAAGCCTTGGAAGGCCCAACTTAAGGCAAAAATCAAAAGTACCATATACTTGAGAACTTGAGGCAATGAGTGGAGACAGTGCTGAGTCCCAAACCTACGCAAAAGTCAAGCATCACTCTTGGCAGAGGAAATCACAAAGTTCACATCCAATGGACGGCATTAGTTACTTATTGTAATGGTTTCCAAACCTGGCTGCCCTTCAGGATTGCCTGGGAAACTTTTAAAAAATACAGATTCTTGGCTCTACCCAGTGAAATATAATCTAATGGGGTGGTATAAGTCTAGTAAGGAGCCCACTAGAGAACCACTAGTCTGTACAAAGCTGTTCCAGAAATACCTGGATTGTGATATTTATATAGATACTTCCTGGAAAAAGAAAAAAAATCAAACTACTTTCTCCATATATCACTAGGAAGCAGTTGACCTGAAATGTAATGAATGGAAAATCATATATAAACTTAGGAAATCTAATGTTATGGGAAAAATGTTAAAATTAAGACTGATGAAATAATAATATTTTTAAATTGTTTTTCAGGAAAAGCCAACAACGAGATTCTTACAAAAGAAACTATCAAGAGATTAGAGAATAAATTTCATTGGAAAAAGAATGTTAGGCTACCATAATTAAACGACAATATTTTTAAAGTATATCAAAGCCATTTAATTCTGAACTTCTGTAAACTTTCTGGCCTTAACTCTCAAATAACTTTTCCCACCTTTCCTGTAGTACTGTTAAGTTTCCTAAGGGCAGGTAATATACGTATCTTATACTTCCATGATACTTACTAAGACCCAGCAGCTATGCAATAATTAATAATTTCACAGATGTATTTTTTGGCTTGAAATTTCAACCTGAGTCAAGAGATACAGGTTCTGCAACAGTCATGAAGTAAACATGCATGACACTGATCTCTGTATTATCCAGAAGGCCTTTAACATGCTTGTTCTGCTGGGAATGATCTTTGAGAGCCAAACAAAATATTATTTATTCTCTGAAGTCATCCTTGATTCTTCAAGTCAGAATAAATTTTTTTCTTATTTGGTTATGGTTCTATCATATCCCATGTCAAACTGATCTTTAGGGTTGTCATATATTTTCCTACTGTATTATAAGCTCTTTAAGGGCAAAACTTTCTTTCTTAGTCATCACTGTACCCCTGGCACCTTATATAGTGTTCTATGTATGTTGGGAACTTGATACATGCCTGCTGAATGAATGAATGAATGAATGAGTGACCACCACACAACATCCTATTCTTTAGAACATGTATCCCAAATTTCAGATCCACTCATGAATTACTTTGCTTACCCATTTCTTCCTTTCCTAAAACTGATTATTGCAAAAACTATAATTTGGAGAAAATACTTATCAAGCCATAAGTTCTATACAAACTATTCAAATGTAAGTAAAGATAAAGGTTAATGAAAATAATTGAGAGAGAAAACTTTACCTTCTTGGAACAGCTGTCTGGCATAAGATGGCTCTCTGCCCTGAGGTTGGAAAAAAGCGTAAATGCACTTCCTCACTAAATCTTCCCAACCAGTTCTGCCAGCAGCTCTCAGGGAACTAGTATCAATAGAGATGATTTTACCTGTACAAAGAACAAAAGTGTACATTTATAACAGCCTCTTTATATAAATCATCCATATTTCAAAAAAACTGAGTCTAAGAAATATTCTTTCTTTCCAATACTCAATAAACAAAAGCAATAAAAAGCACTATTAATTTTTATTACATATAGTTATGAAGTATGTTATTGACATAAATTGTTTTGGTTTTGGAATTGTTACGTCCTAGTATGTCATATTATAAAATTCAATTCAGGTCTAGGATTAAAGTCATACCATAATGACCTGACGCTGCTGAGACTAATGCAGTTCAAACTCCTCTGGCTTGGTCTTTGGATTCTGCTCTCTGTATACTGATGACTGATAGGAAAGGAGAGGTAAAGATGAAGTATATTGCTTGGTTTAAATTAATTTCTAATTACTAAGAGAAGAGAATATGAGAAAAGAAGCAAGGCTTTCCCTCTCTACCCTTTGTTGGGCTGTAGGCAATACTGTATTTAAGACTAAACAAAGACTGAAGGCAACAAAAGTTAAATCAGAAAAACGGTAAGTGAGAACATTAAGATTTGCTAGGCAGTATGCACACGGAACACATGCTTTATAAAATTTATAGTGATTCACCATTGTTATCATATTTAAACAAATTTCCTAAATGGCTATGAGAGAATTCAGGTAAGTTATTCCTCAGTTAACAGAGGGCCAATTAATCCAGTTTGTAAATATTAAGACCTGTTTTATCATGTTTTGCACAATCTTACAGTCACACAAAATAATACAAGATATATATAGAATATATAAATTAAGAATTATATTAATGAGATAAAAACCTGCAAACCCACCACTCAACTTTAGAACTTGACGTTACCAATATTGCTGCATCACATGTGCACTCCTCCCTTGTCACTACCCCCTCTTTAAATTCTCCTGTGAATGGGCATCTAGACTGTTAACAGTTTTTTGCCATTATAGTCAGCACTACTATGAACATCTTTCACATGTTGCATGGTACATGCATTCTCTAGGGTATATACGTAGGAACAGAATTGTTAGATTGTAGGTTATGTGAATGCAACTTTATAATATTAATTTTAAACTGTCTTCCTGAAACTTGTACCACTCTATGCTTCCACCAGCAATGCATAGGAGCTAGTGCTAATCTAACATCCTTTCCATCACTTGTGTTGTCAGGTTTCTTTACGTTTTCAAATTAGTAGGTGAAAAATGCTATCTCACTGTGGTCTAAATTTTTATTTCCCCAATTATTAGAGTTCACCACTAATGTTTCCTCTTCTATGAATGCCTGATTAAACATTTTCCCCATCTTCCCCTTCTTCATACAATCAACTCAAATCTATCATCCAGTTTGTGCCTCCTCATCGAACTAACTCCCTCTTTATATATTTCATTTGGTTTGCTTAGAAATAAAATATTCATTAGACCTTTGTAACTTAGGGTCTTGAATCTGATGTACCCAGTCCTACTTGATCAGGTTATCACCTAAGTCTTGGCATAAATGTAAATAGTAGAAAGAAAATAAACTGAAACTCAAATAAGGGAATTTTGTCATTTAAAAACAGTTTGGGGAAAGCCTGGTGAACACTGTAACTGAAACTATAAAAGATCTTAGATTTTTAAGAATTTTAATAGTTCAACCCTTGTTTCTTATGTCAGAGATAAAAAGTTGGTTATAGCAGGGATTCCACTGCTACATAATCTTCCTATACAAGAATGCGCCTCACAGGCAGTGACTAAGGGAGGCGTGTGCATGTGTGTGTGTTCATGTCAGGGTTGGCCCCATGAGAGGGCATGAGAGTTTAGAGTCTGGGGACTGGCAGGAGAGAAAGTGATTAAGTTATCAGCAATGGTACCAGATGGGTAATGTAATGACTGTCTTAGTGAGGAATCATGAACAGCTTGATTTAGAATACCTCTGCCTACTACAGGAAAGTTTAACCAATCAACCAACCACCAAACAACCAAACAACAATAAAAAACCTTTTTACATTTCCTAGTAAAAGACTTTTTTCTTTTTTTAAGAGATATGGACCATCCCATAAAGAGTTAAAAAGTACTACAAAAACTTAAGAAATGTTTAACATTTATTATACCTATTCTTTTTAGCTAAGTCAATTCTATGATTTATATAATAAAATGTTAGTTTTACATTTTAAGTATATTTTATATTTCCTTGGTATCTTTGTACAATAAGTGTGTACAGTATAGTGATGCCCTTTTAATAGCGCTTTAGTGAAAAGTAACGTAATACAAGAAAGAGCTCCACATTAGGACCTAAAGGTGTCCATTCTCGGCAAAGAGCTGTATGGTTTTGATCAAATCACCATCCCCTCATTTGTAAATCCAGGTTGGATTCTGTGATCTTTGAGGCTGCCTCAAACTATAAAATATATAGTTATTTTATGGCCCAGAGGCTAATCTTTTATTTTACACGATTATGGTTATTTTTATATATTTATACATATCACCAGGTATATCTAAAATTTTAACACCTGGGTTCTTAGAAACAAAACTACCACGGATAACACTGTTCCTATGAGAAAATAAAGTCCTTAAAACAATCCAATTTAGAATTCAACTTATAGAAATGCAATATGAGGAAAAGCTGAAACATATTGTTCCTAAATTAGCCTCGTAACTTTTAGGCCTTCCTCATCGCTGACATTTTTCTGTGACCTCACAATAACCCTTTTCAACACGTTTTCATTCTGCTATCTCACAAAGCCCTTCTTTGGTTTCTTTTTAGGTTAACTGGTTACTGACCAATTTTCCTTTTCAATGGACTCTATTTTTCCTTCATGCAAAACACTTTCAATTTTCAATAATCTAAAAAATAATTTTTTATATTTAAATAAGAAATTTTTCTTTGAGCACAAACCCACACATCCATAGTAAGCTTATTAAATTTTTCCAGTATTGTTCATGGTAGAGACCGGAAAGGAATACAATACATGGTAGACTCAAAAATGGAATGAAGAAAGGGATGATAATTGATAATTACTGTCCTTAGATGCCATCTCTCTGCATTCAGAGACATTCTCTTCACCATTTTCTATTATCAGTGCTAATTTATCCATACTAGTTCTTTAGTAAGAGCAGCTGGAAGTTTATCACTAAAAACACATGCACAAAGCATACAACACTGGAATATTAGATTATTGGGACTAAAAAATGAATATATAATGAAATAGGATCTTATAAAAAGGTGGTAAAAGTCAAAATGTACACTAAAACTAAACTTTCACAAAGCAGAAAATTCAGAAGAAATGATTTTTAAAATCTTAGTCTGCTAGAAAATATACCTCTAATATTTATCTCTATTTTAAAATTAGAGAGGTGAGTGAGATATATGTAACCCTGGTTGTTGTAAAAGCATGCACATACAATGTGTTAGTGTAAAGATAAAATCAAATAATATAAGAAAAATACTTCATCAGCTATAAAGAACAGTAACAATTTGTCCTTGCTGAAAAAAAAATCTGAAGTAGGCCTTTAAGAATGCCTTATTTATAGGCAGTCTGTTACTCAGTTTGAGGCTCTCCTGCCCTCCTTCTAGCACTTCTAACTTACCTCTCTGTCTTGCTTATCTTTAGACTTCTGCAGCTCTGGTTCCTCAATTAGGAGTACCTGTTCTGCATCAAGACCCTTCGTTGCTGCCCCCCTTCCAAGACCCACACTTTAAATAGTGGGCACCACTTCATCCTTTGGGGCTTAGTATCAGCTCCTCAGACAGGCCTTTGCTGACCAACTAATTTCATAAATCCTCCCTTATACCATTCTCATAACTTTTCCATCATCAAAAATAACACAATTTGTCATTGAATTATTTTTGTTCAACCATATACATCTTGAGGAATCACCTAGTGACAAGCACTTCTAGGGACTCAATCAGTATGGGCTAAATAAATTTACAGAAAAATAATTTAAAAAAAAACAGAAATAGCCAGATACATTTAAGCATAATAGTAAAACTACCGTATTCATATCTATTTTAAATAAATGTGTATATATATACATATTTACATATCTATATCTTCTAAATTTCTTTAAGCATTTTATTCCATGATTATGAAAAATAATTTATAATCAAACAAATATAGGTATATAAAGTTATAAAAAGTGTTCTCTCCAGCACCCTGACCATGATAATGATTATAGTATCTAAGAGCACCATTTAGAATGTTTTCTGTATAAGACTAGGGAGCAAAGCCTAAATCTCATAGAACAGAAAGACATTCTGGATATAATTAAAGGGCAGAGTCACATTATTAATACCTATGGAACATTCTGAACTTTACAATTAGTACCTGTAGTATCTTGCTTGGTCATAAAGGATTCTACACCCGTAATAGCTGGAGGCCGAGGTAATCGCCGTGCAATACAAATCAGACATGACTGGAAATCTGCCCAAAACAAGAAGGGGAAATTGAAGGAAAGAGAGTAGAAAATGGTTTACTTCTATCACTTGCCATTAATGGTTTTCAAAAAAACAATACATGTTACAGGACCTGACATAATATTGAAATCATTCTTATCTAATGTATCTTAGAAATAAACTTGCTGGCAACCAAAAACTGACAGCTCCAGGTAGAGAGTTAGTTGGCACAAACTATTTCTTCCTATTGAATGCTCTTATATATACCAGAGCAGACTGATGCACTTCATGTACGGATAATAACAACTAGAAGTAGTAGTTTTGGTTAGATATAAGGGTGGGGCACAGTGTTATTTAAAATACAGTTTTGTAGTCAATTTCTTATATTCACCAGTACTTAATGGCTGCAAAGATTATTCTTATAACCATGGTGTAGATAATTATATGAGAAAAACAACCTTTAACTCTGAAGCACTATTTTGCTCTTGACAGATGACTTCATGTTTTCAGGATATACAATTTTTTCTAAGTCCTATTCCCAAATTTTGTTTTGAGGATGTTAAACACAATATCACACAGCTAAAAATGAACTTTAATCAAATAAGACTTGGCATGTGTATTTTGTAAAAAGTTTCCAGTTGATTGCCACCTCCATTTCCTGGTGAGACCTGCTACGTATATGGCTTTTTTGCATCTGACTGACTTCTTGTCTACTACCTTCCCTTGTCCTTACTCCAGTTCCCAATTTGTGATTTTCTAAACTTAGCCCAGTCTAAGTTTACATGGAAAACTCATCCACTGTCACATATTTAACTAATTCCATGTTGACACCATGTTCATATTAGAGCTTCAGCATGTTTCCATCTGTTCATAAGTTTTCTCCTTATAAATTACCTTGTATAGCCTGAAAAATGCCAACTCTATTCTCCAATGTTCCCTACACTCTAAACTTGAAACTTTCTAAAAATCAGAGCTGTTCAACAGTCTGCTGCATCTGGTACATTTCCAACTGGCAGCAGTTAGTTACATCTCTTATTTCTAGACAGCAAGTTGGTCTGAATTATTTGACATTTTAGTGGGAATGCCAGCTTAAAACTAAGAATCTGGGGGGCATATTAAAGGAATGATTCTAGATGTAATTATTGTTTTTTAAGTATTAAGAATATATAGCAAATGGAATAGCTACTATGATACATACTATAGTAACCAAAAATACTATCTGAAAAAGGCAGTTTATAATTAATTTCCTCCCCTTTCCTTAAAGTCACAGAAGAAATAAACACTTTAAAATGAACATTTGGCTTTACCTTCTCCATCCTCTTGAATTGATTTTGGCTGTGACACAGTGAAACACTGCATTACTTCATAACGCTGGCAAGCTTCTTGGTTCTCGGTTCCTGGCTCATCTGGAGGGTGAATTAGCATCCTGCAGTTAAAGGTATGGCTGTTTCGTCGTGTTGCCTCTTGAGGCCAAGGAACTCCATTTACTGAGGAAGAAAAATTGATTACGTGCTTGTGAATATGGTGAAAAAGCACAAACTCTGAAGATACAAAAGATGTACTTTAAGCGATCTGCTTAATTAGACACTCAGATTAAAAGACAGACCGACCTCTTCACATCTAACATTATCCTGAGGCAATAGAATACTTATCTCCCTAGCAAATCTAAATGTCTACCAATTAGAAAACTGTAACATTTCCAAGAAAATACATGTGATCTTCCTCTCAAATATTATCATCAAAGACAAAAATTAAAAATTAAAACTTACTAGTCATTTTGCTCAGAATTTTACAGCAGTTAATTAATGAGTTTTTCAGTTGGTTTCCAGTTATACTTTGACAATGAAATGATTCAAAACCACAGGTATATTGATAAGTGGGGTTTTAACTTGGCAATCATGGATTCTTAAGGTTGGCTTTTGTGTGGATGTGCACCTTTCTAGGGGAGATTTCAATTTTCTTAGAGTCTGTGACTCAAAAAAATATTAAGAATATAGAGCAATCTCAATTTCTCATAACCATTTTCTCCTTGTGCTTTATTTTACTTAACTGGCACAGTTCATATGCTACAATACCTTGGATATAGTGGATAATCAATATTATTATATTAAAAAAATGGCTAAAAAAGGAATGTTACCTGATCCAGTATAGGAAAAATGAATTCAGTTGCAGAAAAGGTATCCATTTCAAGTAAAAACCACTGTGTGGTAGGTCATAATTTCCCAGTCATAGTGTCATGTTTAAATCATGTGGTCATGAGATGATCAGAGGGTTTTTAAGGCTGCCTTTTTTTTTTCTGAGATGGAGTCTCACTTTGTCACCCAGGCTGGAGTGCAATGGTGCGATCTCGGGTTACCGCAACCTGTGCCTCCTGGGTTAAAGCGATTCTCCTGCCTCAGTCTCCCGAGTAGCTGGGATTATAGGCGTGCTCCAACACGCCGGGCTAATTTTTGTATTTTAGTAGAAATAGGGTTTCACCATGTTGGCCAGGCTGGTCTCAAACTCCTGACCTCATGATCCACCCATCTCGGCCTCCCAAAGTGCTGGGATTACAGGTGTGAGTCACCATGCCTGGCCAAGGCTACTTTTTTACTGTTCCAAACATTTTCCTACCTTAAACTCTCCAGTGACCCTCCTTCCTTTTTTCCATCTCATCCTTTATTAAGTGTTAGAGGAAATCAGGGAAACAAACCCATATTGGAGTAAGAAGTCTTGGGTTCTGCTATTAGCAAGTTCTAAGGTTCGGGTTAATTAATCTTTGATGCTCATTGTCTCATTTTTTAAAATAAAATAATACACTACATTATCTCTAAAGTCATTTATACTTTAAAATTTCATAATAAAATACATAAGATACCTTGATGCTTGATTCAAATATCAGTAGTGATTTTAATAGAAACAATCATTTCAAGTCCCCAGTTACTACAACAAACACATATTACTATTTTCAAAAGGAAATGAAGTTTCTATTCTGTTGGGGGAACAATGTGGAAAATGAAGAGCTATGAATAACATTTTTATATGCATGTCTGGTTTAGTTATATAGGATTTCTGTCTAAGGTCCTCCCCTCCACTTTTGGAGCACATATAGGCTAAAGAGTGGAAGGAAAGGGAAGAAAAAAAGAAAAATGAATGTAAAAACTAGCATATCCATTCATTTTTAGAGCTCTCTTCTCATGTACTGAATAAATGGATTAAGTTGTCTAATTATTAGGAAAACTCTCCAACTAAAGTAAATAGACCCTATGATAAAAAATGGATTTGTGCCAGGTGTGGTGGCTCATGCCTGTAATCCCAGCACTTTGGGAGGCTGAGGCAGGTGGATCATGAGGTCAGGAGATCAAGACCATCCTGGCTAACACAGTGAAACCCTGTCTCTACTAAAAGTACAAAAAATTAGCCTGGCATGGTGGCGGGCACCTGTAGTCCCAGCTACTCAGGAGCTTGAGACAGGAGAATGGCGTGAACCTGGGAGGCGGAGCTTGCAGTGAACCGAGATCGCGCCACTGTACTCCAGCCTGGGCGACAGAGCAAGACTCCGTCTCCAAAAACAAAAAAAGAAAAGAAAAAAAAGGATTTGTTAACACTACTCAAAGAAAGAGATGACACAATCACATGGAAAAATGTCCCGTGCTCATGAATAGGAAGAATAAACATCATTAAAATGGCCATACTGTCAAAGCAATTTACAGATTCAATGCTATTCCTACCAAACTACCAATGACATTTTTCACAGAACTAGAAAAAACTATTTCAAAATTCATATGGAACCAAAAAAGAGCCCAAATAGCCAAGGCAACCCTAAGCCAAAAGAACAAAGCTGGGCGCATCACGTTATCTAACTTCAAACTATGTTACAGGGGTACAGTAACCAAAACAGCATGGTACAAAAATAGACACATAGACCAATGGAACAGAATACCAAGACTAAAAATAGGGCCGCACACCTACAGCCATCTGATCTTTGACAAAGCTGACAAAAACAAGCAATGGGGAAATTGACTCCCTAGTTAATAAATGGTGCTGGGATAACTGGATAGCCACATGCAAAAGATTAAAACTGGACCTCTTTCTTGCACCATATACAAAAATCAACACAAGATGGATTAAAGACGACTTAAATGTAAAACCCAAAACTATAAAAACCTTTGGAAGACAACTTAGGCAATACCACTCTGGACACAGGAACGGGCAAAGATTTCATGATGAAGATGCCAAAAGCGATGAAAACAAAAGCAAAAATTGACAAATGGGACCTAATTAAATGTAAGATCATCTGCACAGCAAAAGAAACTGTCAAGAAAGTAAAGAGAACCTACAGAAAGGAAGAAAATATTTGCAAACCATGCATCTGACAAGGTCCAATATCCAGTATTCATAAGGAACTTAAAGAAATTTACAAGGAAAAAACAACCCCATTAAAAAGTGGGCAAAGGGCATCGACACTTTTTCAAAAGAAGACACACATATGGCCAACAAGCATGTGAAAAGAAGCTCAGTATCACTGATTATTATTAGAGAAATGCAAATCAAAACCACAATGAGATATCATCTCACACCAGTCAGAATGGCTATCATTAAAACATCAAAAAATAACAGATGCTGGCAAGGCTGTGGAGAAAAGGGAATGCTTATACACTGTTGGTGGGAGTGTAAATTAGCTCAACCATTGTGGAAAGCAGTGTGATAATTCCTAAAAGAACTAAACAGAACTACCATTTAACCCAGCAATCTCATTACTGGATATATACCCAAAGGAACAAAAATCATTCCACCATAAAGACAGATGCAAGTGTATGTTCATTGCCACAGTATTCACAATAGCAAAGACATGGAGTCAACCTCAATGACCATCAATGGCAGACTGGATAAAGAAAATGTGGTACATATACACCATGGAATACTATACAGCCATAAAAAAGAATGAGACCATGTCCTTTGCAGGAACATGGATGGAACTGGAGGCCATTATCCTTAGCAAACTAACACAGGAACAGAAAACCAAACACGGCATGTTCTCACTTGTAAGTGTGAACTAAATGATGAGAACTCACAAACACAAAGCGGAACAGACACTGCGCCTACTTGACGGTGGAGGCTGGGAGGAGCAACAGCATCAGAAAAAATAATTATTGGGGGCTAGGCTTAGTACCTTGGTTAATATGGTTTGGCTCTGTGTTGCCACCCAAATCTCATCTCAAATTGTAATCCCCACATATTGAGGGAGGGACCTGTAATCTACATGTGTTGAGGGAGAGAGAGGTGAATGGATCATGGGGCAGTTCCCCCCATGCTGTTCTCCTGATGGTGAGTTCTCAAGAGATCTGATGGTTTTATAAGCGTCTGGAAGTTCCTCCTTTGCTCTCTCTCTCTCCTGCCTCCTTGTGAAGAAGGCAATTGCTTCCTCTTCCCCCATGATTGTAAGTTTTCTGAGGCCTCCCCAGCCATGTGGTACTGCGAGTCAATTAAACCTCTTTCCTTTATAAATTACCCAGTCTCAGGGAAGTTCTTTATCACAATGTGAAAATGGACTAATACACTGGGTGACGAAATAATCTGAACAACAAACCCCCATGACATGAGTTTACCTATATAACACACCTTGCACATGTACCACTGAACCTAAAATAGAAGTTAAAAAAAAAAAGGCTTTAAGTTTTTGTTTACAGCTTGGCTTCGATAATGTTTACCCTGATCTATTCGGTTATCAGGGACAGTTTCAACTTTCTGAAGGTGTCTACAAAGAAAGCTACTTGCAGAATGTTACTAGAAGAAGAGCTAAATATCTAATCACACTCAGTTCAGGTAAAAGGAATGAAGGTAGAGAAAAGGAAAAGAGGGGGAGGAATGGTTAGGAATTAAGGTAGGATTAAGGAGCCAAGAGAAGAGCAGACAGTGATGAAGATGAGAACGGTACTTCCTTGAAGTTTAATTTCATGACCTGTTATGGTGGTCAGTATATCTAAATTGTATAAAACACTTTTTGAGATGTGAAAAAAAAAGTTGAAAATAATCACCACAACAAAAGAAACTAAAGTCATTTTGGTAATAATTTACATGTCAACTATCATATCTTCTTAAAACAACAATAATTAACAGCAAGTTCAATTCCAAACTTATAGGCCCCTCAAATATAAGCTGCTAAATATTTTAGGTGATCTTTTTAGATACCCTGATTTCACAAGGTTAGATTGTTTTAAGTTAACTGAACTATTAATAGTTTACCATGACAAAACTTTTTTGAACTTGAATCTTCTTTTAAACAGTAGGTAGTGAGCTACATATTTATGCAAAAAGACAACAGCATCACACACATAAGGTCCCGTATACTCTGTGGAATGGAAACAAGAGGATAGATCTATACTAGAGGTACAAAGCTTCTGACAAAATTCAGTATTTTGTGTGCAGGAGGGTGCAGTTTTCACTATCTAGCTAGAAAGCAACATGCCTAATCTTCACGCAATCCCTTTCTTAATTCACCATATGATTCCTCTTTAAAAGGATAAATGCCACTGATAATGTTTAAAAAACCTAGTAAAACAAACCCAAAGTATTAAAAAATGACTAACAAAAGCCCCCTGTATAGGTAAAAGTAGCAGTTTAGCACTACAGTTTAAAAAAGAAGAACAGGGTCCAGCGTGGTGGCTCACTCCTGTAACCCCAACACTTTCAGAGGCCGAGGCAGGCAGATCACTTGAGATCAGGAGTTCGAGACCAGCCTGGCCAACATGGTGAAACCCCATCTCTACTAAAAATACAAAAATTAGCTGGGCGTGTTGGTGGGCGCATGTAATCCCAGCTACTTGGGAAGATGCGGCAGGAAAATTGCTTGAACCCAGGAGGCGGAGGTTGCAGTGAGCTGAGATCATGCCATTGCACTCCAGCCTGGGTGACAAGAGCGAAACTCTGTCTCAAAAATAAATAAATAAATAAATAAGAAAAAAGAAAAACCGGAACCATCCTACTGAATGTGATCTATAAAAAAAATTTGCCTCAATTTCTACAGAATAATTTCTATGTGCTTCTAAGAGCACACTATGAAAGGACAAGATTGTCCTTCCTTCACATCAATTTCTAAGCTAAAAGCATAATCAAAACAAGCTAGTAATTGTTAATAATAATGGAAAATCTACCATTCAGAAGTTAAAAGCTCCAAAACATTTAGAAAAAGCCAGTAACAGGAATAATAATAATAGCTAAAACAAAAAGAATTTAATACGAGCCAAGAAATACGCTAATCAACACTTACCCCTTAACCTTCCGATCAAGGATGAGGAGTAGAGGGGTCAAATGTCTTGTCCAAGGTCACACTGCTAATTAAGTAGCAGAGTCAGAATGCACAGCCCATTTCTGTTTTATACCAGAAAGGCTATGCTCTTAAGTACTATCGTGTCTCCAACATTTGAGATATAAATGGTATGAATTTATAAAAAGACTTGCTTTCTAAAATTTTTTTCAAACTTCAAGTTCCAATTTATTAGAATTTCACAAATAAGTCTATGTTCACTAACATCTCATTCTTTGTAATCTTAGCCTTTCACAATATAATCTTTTTATAACCATCTGTGCAAGTATAAGTATATCCATGTACACTTGTGCTTTTGGACAAAATTTCTCACCATACCAGCTTCCCAGCATTCAGATTTTGTTTCTTATAAATAAAATGTTATGCTTAAAAAGTACAGATTTTAGACACTGAAATCTTCTAAATCTGTAAATTCAAAAGCAATTTTAAAAGTTTGACTTTTAACTTTTTTCTTCAAAATTTCTCCTTGGAAATAACAAATCAAAAATAAGAAGGCAGTGCTTTGAATCATGTATATATTTATATAAGGTGAGTACATATATAAATAATGATCCTAAATTTTTCTTCAAATTTCTTCCTTGATAGGTTCTGAATCTTGATTTCATTTTTGTTTTCCCCAGTGGTTGATAATGAAATACACATAAAATGATTCTACTTAGTCTCTTTCCTTAATTTTCTAATACTTTGATTATTCTAATAATAAAGGTTTAAACATAGGTACTATAATTTATTTTCTTCTAAATGCTTTTTGGAAATACCTTGAAAGAAGCTACTGGCTTTTCTAAGTTAGTGTAGTTGGCCTTCATTCTTTTGGTGGGACCATCTCATTGGTTTCTAATGGATGATCAACCAACACTGTAAGATTATGTGATCTATTCTATTATTACTGAGCTTGCCCTATCTTTGTTTGTCTACACTACTGTATAAGAAAGTAGTATTATTTTTTCAATGTTTCTGTTCTTCTATTATTGGGAGAGTGAGAGAAAGATACCTCCGTAGCAAAAACTTCATATTCCTCCCTATTGTGAAAGGCTGCTCAGAGAGGCAACAATGAATTGTCAGGCCAGCTGAGGATCACTGTCTTGTAAGTAGCCAGGAGCAGCATCACCAGCAAGCACATAAGCTAGTAGATGACACTCCCTCCACATTTACCTACTGGCAGAGATTTGGGGGAACCCGAATAGTCATAGATCTACAGCATCCTGAGAACCAGGCAGAACAGGTAATGTGGCCCTTCCACAAACAACAAGCCCCTTCTTCAGAAGTCAGAAAACAGCTCATCCTTGTTTTCTGTGACCGCAAGCCTCTTTCCAACCAGGAAGGCTGTTAAACCCAACAAATATCTTGTTACTCAACATGAGACTAAAATTAAATTAGTTTTTTTTGATACAAAATAAAATGCAATAGCTCAGTTAAATCCATACACCAGTAGTCCTCAAAATTTGTGAACAGTAGAACAAAAGAATCTACAGTCCATGGCTAGGGAAAGAAATCTTAAGTATTACCTACAGTGACATCAGGGGAATCTTACATTGTTTAACTTCCTTGACCACATGCCTCAGTTTCCATACTAAACGGTATGGTAGAGTCCTAACTCTCCAACTCAGATACTTTATCACACAGTATCTGTCTGAAAAACTGATGTGTGGTAAATTTATCTGCGTGATAAACTGCTTTTATTTCAGAGTCCACTGAAGAAATAAACTATGTGGAAAAAAAGGAAAAAAAATCTAAAACAGACTGGAATCTGAAAAGTAATATGAAAAATTTCTTATTTATCTACAAAATGTATACTATTGAAAAATACACACACTCAGATGTAAAGGTAGCAACGCAATCACTAGTAGTAACTGGAACTTGAGCACTGAAAAACTTTAGAGGAGCCTGAAAATTCAAGAAGTAAACAAAGGCCTGCTGTTAGTCCATCCATGCCTTTACAAGAATTAGAAAAAATCCCCTAACTCCTAAAGTCCCAGCCCTGCCCCAAGGCACAGGGTTCAGTGAATAGAAGAGACACTAGAAATTAGACTCCATCCATCCTCTCAGCTAGGTTCCTCAGCAGTGAATAGCCCATCCAACCATACTTGGAACTCCTCCATTAAAGCACTTAAGTGTAAAAACATTAATTTTAGTAGGTATATGACATATATTCTTTCCTTCTTCCCTCCCTCTCACTCCCTCTCTTTCTCATTTCTATTCTTTTTTCTGTGAGCAGGGTAAAGAAAAGGATATACATTTGTCTCTTTCTTGAACATAATCAAAATTGAAAATAATTCTCTCCAACTACTGTGGCATGACACAGTATAAAGGAAGAAGCTGAAAGGAATGCTCTCCATCAGTTATTTGATGAAACTCCCCTTCATATTTATATCAGAGACTGAAACTACATTGAAAAAATATTTTAAATACATATAACATATATAATACTATGAATTATAAATATAATAATCAGGTATTATAGATTATACATATTACATAAGGAGAAGATACAGAGAGCTAGCATTCTTTTTAAAAACACATTTCTGTTTACCTAGTGATTTTGGTAGCAGATTCTTCACAAATTCTGCATGATCCCCCACGTGCAGTATGCTGTAGACGCTGGTATTCATTAATTCCTCCTGATTGTAACCTAAGTAGCTGGTTACATTCTCTGACACAAATACAATTCTCCCTTCACAGTTCACAACAAAGAAAAATCCATCCAAAGCCTGCAAAATCAAAAGAAAACAATGGTTTGGATATTGAAAGATAAAAGAAAAAAATTAAACTATACATTTTTCTATTAAAAAAGAGATCAGAAATATATGTCAAGACCTGGTCTCTGTCCTCAAGGAAACTGTGGTACTGTAGGAGAAAAAGACATAAACATAATAAAATATCAGTGATAAAATGCAGATCAGAGACATACACAAAATAGTCTACAAGCACACAGAAGGATGACTAATTTGGGATCAGGGTGGGGGTCAAAGAAAGGTACAGACCCCTACCTAACATATAAAAGGCATAGTGGAGGAGGAAGAGGATTGAAGGAAGAACATTCCAGTAAGTGGAGAGAGCATAGCACAAAAAGAAAACGAACAAGTAGTTTGGAGCTGCTGGAATATATGGTACAGCAGAGGTGGACAGGAGCCAAATCACAGGGGCTTCCTATGCACTGAGATGGAGCCAGGGGTCTCCAAAAGGAGACATTTGCATCCTGTGGGGCATATAATATCCACAAGGGTGCAGGGGAAAAGTTAGAACCTCTATGTATATTGTAAACTAAAACATAATAAAGAAATTAAGCTTAAGCGTATTAACACTCTGGTGCCTGACTCAGTGCAGACAGTCACATATTACAGGAACCCTGGTATCCTGAGGAAGAGCCAGAATGCAGACTGTGGCATCTTACTTATTTGTAATCTTTTCATTTATTGCAACATGTTGCAGCTTACTTGCTGCACAATGTATATAAGCAATACAATCAAGATCCTGAAAAAATAGAACATTTACAGAATTTTGTAACAAAATGTAAAATGACCATAAAAATCCTTTGGATCATACAGGGTCTGCTGGTTATCTACGGCAAAATTAAAAGACCTGTCTAACAATGTTGACGGGTTACTCATTTTTCTTTTAAAAAAAGGCCAGGGTACCAAGTTCGCTGTCTAGCAGATACTCGCCAAGAAGCAAACACATTTTTTTTTTTCCTTCAGGATTAAGATGAAATTTTAACAATGAATAAAAAGTAAACTGCTTTTTAAAAAGACACAAACACCATAGAGAGAGCATGTGAAAATGGATGTTTGGGAAATGTTACCACTGTACAATTTTGTTTCTGAAAATGACAGTGATATTGAAAATGACATGAATAGCTTGTACAATTTATCTTATCAGTTTAAAACCTTAGAGCATTTTATCTGTTGAAAAATGTTCCAATTAGATTCTCAGTGGTGGCCCTTTTTTCTTTTTCTTTTTCTTTTTTTTGTTTGAGAGAGTGCAGTGGCGCAATCTTGGCTCACTGCAACCTATGCTTCCTGGATTCAAGTGATTCTCCTGCTTCAGCCTCCCATGTAGCTGGGATTACAGGCATGTGCCACCGTGCCCCACTGATTTCTGTATTTTTAGTAGAGATGGGGTTTCATCATGTTGGCCAGGTTGGTTTTAAACTCCTGACCTCAGGTGATCCACCTGCCTTGGCCTCCCAAAGTTCTGGGATTACAGGCATGGGCCTCTGTGCTAGGCCCCTTTTTTTTTTTTAATGTGAAAATGCAACACCTTCTGATGTTTGGAAGAATCTTTTTTTTTTTTTTTTTTAAATCAAGGAAACTGGACTGTCAATAAAAACCTTTGCAAAGTTTGTGGGTAGGATTTAAAAATGAGTATCATAATTTAGTAAACACATCCAATGACATAGTTTTCCATTTGCCTCTACCTTATTTTTGTGAGGTGCGTTTTTCAGCTACGATGATTTTTTTTTAATTGAGAAAAACTAATATGTATTTATGGTATACATGTTTTCAAATATGTATACATTGTTGAATGGCCAAATCAAGCTAATGAACATAAGCACTCCCTCACATACTTATCATTTTTTGTGGTGAAAACACTTAAAAGCTACTCTCTTTGCAATTTTCAGGTATAAAAGAATTGTTATTAACTACAGTCACCATAATGTACAATAGATCTCTTGAACTTATTTTTCCTAATTGAAAGGTTTTCATCTTTTGACCAACATCCCTCCAATCCACTCACCCTTCACACAGACCCTGGTAACCACCATTCTACTCTCTCTTATGAGTTTGACTTTTTTAGATCCCACATGTAAGTGAGATCATGTGGTATCTGTCTTTCTGTGTCTGGCTTTTAATTAACATGATGTCTTCTAGGTTCATACATGTTGTCACAGATGACAGGATTTCCTTTATAAAGGCTGAATAGTATTCCGCTCTGTGTATATACCACATTTTCTTATTCCATTCATCCATTTTTGAACACTTAGGTTGATGCAAATTAAAACTATGATGAGATATCACTTCATATCTGTTAAGTGTAGGTGAGGATGTGAAGAAAAGAGAACATCTATTATGGGAAATAGTAGGGAGGTTCCTCAAAAACTAAAAATAGAACTACCATATGATCCAGTAATCTCAGCACTGAGTATATATCCAAAGGAAATGAAATCAGTATGTCAAAGAGATGTCTGCACTCCCACGTTCACTGCAGCATTATTCACAATAGCCAATATATGAGAATCAAGCTAAGTGTCTGCCAACAGATGAATGGACAAGATTATTTAAACCAAATATTAAATTAAATTTAGTAATACATCTCCATTATCACTTCATCACAAAGAATATAAACAAGATTTAAAGCAAGATTGAAGCACAACCCATTGTTCTCATTTAAAATATTGCTAATATTTTCTTTAGCAAGAACAAAAAGGAATAAAGCTATTTTTATTCTACCTGATTGCTGTGACTTACTTAGTCCATAATGCAAAGGAGACAGGGATGTGATTAATAATCTTTAAAATCTCAATACTAGATAAACTCTTTGTAAAAATATTTTGGGTTTAGATGAGTATGGGAAAGTACCTCATATCTAAATTGGGTTTATAAAACTGCTCAGATTAGCTATAAGTCTCATAGTAGGTGATCAATATTTACGTGCCTTGAAGTTTATATAAAAATAGAAATAATTTAAAAACAGATTTATTTTTCAAAAATAGACCTGAAACTTCTTTTAAAATGTTCTTTGCATCAGTATAAATACAATTTAACTTGCATTTTCTTATAAATATATACTTATAAAAAATAAAAATATAAAAATATAAAAATGAGGTTGATAGTGGAAGATCTGCCAGAATTCCGCCCTCAAGAGACTAGTAACATTTCAGGGAATACTTTTTGAGACTATTCCCACGAATATAGAAGCATCTCTATTTTTTAAAAGTATGTCTGGTTAATACAATCTGTTATTACTTGTTCTTGTTCTACAAGTTTCCCTCATATGTTGTTTATCTAATTAACTAAAAAGTGTGCTCCTGGGAAGGAAACTTCCTATTCCTCCAAGACCTGACAGCTGGTTTTACTGCATACAGAGAAGACAACAAATGCCTATGCACTCAGTAATCAATCTGAGAACTTTTCCAAACTCTGCCCAGGATGTCATCCTTTGAAGAAGACCACCATGTGTCTCATGGAAGGGTTCACATTAGCCAAGGATTCTCATAGGGCCCTGGCTTTAAATGAGACTACCCAAGTGACTGTGACTGGACAAAGTTCTAGGAATAAAAGACACCATCTAAAACTATAACAATCCTAGAAGAATATCTAGGCAATACCATTCAGTACATAGGTATGAGCAAAGATTTCATGATGAAAATGCCAAAAGCAACTGCAACAAAAGCAAAAATTAACAAATAGGATCTAATTAAACTCAAGAGCTTCTGCACAGGAAAAGAAACTATCATCAGAGTGAACAACCTAAAGAATGGGATAAAATTTTTGCAATCTATCCATCTGAGAAAGGTCTAATATCGAGTCTACAAGGAACTTAAACAAATTTACAAGAAAAAACCAAACAACCCCATTAAAAAGCAGGGAAAGGGCATGATCAGACACTTCTCAAAAGAAAACATTCATGTAGTCAACAAACATGAAAAGAAGCTCAACATGACTGATCATTAGAGAGATGCAAATCAAAACCACAGTGAGATACCATTTCATGCTAGTCAGAATGGTGATTATTAAAAAGTCAAAAACCAATAGATGCTGGCAAGGTTGCAGAGAAAAAGGAATGCTTTTAGACTGTTGGTGGGAGTGTAAATTAGTTTAACCATTGTGGAAGGCAGTGTGGCGATTCCTCAAAGATTTAGAGGCAGAAATACCATATGACCCAGTAATCCCATTACTGAGTATATATCCATAGGAACATAAATCATTCTGTTATAAAGATACATGCACATGTATGTTCACCACAGCACTATTCACAATAGCAAAGGCCTAGAATCAACCTAAATGCCCATCAATGATAGACCGGATAAAGAAAATGTGGTAAATACACACCATGGAATACTATGTAGCCATAAAAAGGAATGAGATCATGGTCCTTTGCAGGGACATGGATGGAGTTGGAAGCTGTTATGCTCAGCAAATTAATGCAGGAACATCAAACCAAATGCTGCATGTTCTCACTTATAAATGGGAGTTGAACAATGAGAACACGTGGACACATGGCGGAGGGAACACACACTGAGGCCTGTTGGGGGCAGGGGTGGCAGGAGGGAGAGTACGAGGAAGAATAGCTAATGGATGCTGGGCTTAATACCTAGGTGATGGGTTGATCTGTGCAGCAAACTACCATGACACACATTTGGCTATGTAACAAACCTGCACGTCTTGCACATGTACCCTAGAACTTAAAAGCTGAAGGAAAAAAAAGTGTGGCACATCCTCGTTCTCTCTCTCACGTTCTCTCTCCTGCCGCCTGGTGAAGAACGTACTTGCTTCTCCTTTACTTTCTGCTGTAATTGTAAATTTCCTGAGGCCTCCCTAGCCACGTGGAACTGGAAGTCAGTTAAACCACTTTCAAGCCAGACACGGTAGCTCATGCCTGTAATTCCAGCACTTTGGGAGGCCAATGCGAGTGGACCATGTGAGGCCAGGAGTTTGAGACCAGACTGGCCAACATGGCAAAACCCTGTTTCTACTAAAAATACAAAAAT